CACGTACATTCTATAGCATATCTCATCGTTTCGATTCAGTAAATCCATGCACGATGGCGTATGTTTTCTTCTTACTGAAAACAATATTTTTTTATTAATAAATTATTTAAACCTTGGGTTCGAAGCCGGTTCCATAGCACAGTGGTAGTTGCGACTCCCTAGTAAGGAGTAGGTCGTGAGTTCAATCCTCGCTGGAACCTGAATTGAATTTTTACATATTGGAATTTTCAAATTTTAAAATGTCAGCCGGTGCTTCCTCGACCAGTTCTAATACGACGGCCTCTCATAGCCCACCAAAGTCTCTACTTTTACCGCCCATTAATTTCCCAATTTTGAATAAACGCACATCGAACGAGCTGGCCTCTACATCATCATTTTCCACCATGATCAAACAGCCTGGCCATCATATTTCACCTGAATTCATTTTATCAGGATCCAGCCCATCTACGATTTCATCAGCTTCGACAAACAAAAGCGAAGGATTGCAATTGACACCTTCCCCTTCTTCTCCGTCTTCTGCAATGTTCCATTTCGAACCTTTTAAACTTTCCGCTGAAAGCTCGCCCTATATCCCCTCCTTTATGAACTCCCCTAATTTTTATCATACACTGCTAGAATCTAAGCCCCCTGGACTAGTTGCGTCTACCCAGTTAAGTTCAAGTTCTGAGACTTCAACGCCCGCTATACCGCCTGTTGTGTCGTTAAATCAAGAAAAAAACAAGCAGAACCCCGAATCAAGTGACTCGTTTGATGCACCTGGTCAACCTAAGGGTCAAATTACAATACTTAAGCGCTTAGCTTCTTCTTCTTCTTCTTCTTCTTCTTCTTCTTCTTCTTCTTCTTCTTCAGCAACCGCAATAGCATCCTCGAATGAGGAGGCTTCGTTGGGAATTTCCAAATCAGCTACAATCAAGATAGGGCCTACTCATTCTTCAGGAAACGATCAGAATTCCAGTCAAACAAAGACTACCAGCACCAAGCTTCTTCAATCTAAACCATCCCTTGAAGCTTCATCTTTACCGAAGCCAATTTTAGAGTCATTTTTTGCTTCGAAGCAATCTATAGAGCCCCAGCCTATTTCCAGGTCTGAATTGGAAGCCGAAATCACAAAGTCTATTTGCTCTTCTATTGAAAAGAATCTTTTCCCCAGGATAGAGGCTTCAATCAAAAGTTTAATCGATGATGTAGCAAAGTTCCAGGTTAATTGTACCAAAAAATGTAGCCTCGTCTTATTACTTTCCATTTAGATAATGAAGCCATCGATAATTTGACCCAAAAAATGCACTCAAATATCGCGAGTTCAACAAAAAACTTGGAAAAGTCTATATCGGCCATAGAATCGAATCTGATGAATATAGTTTTAAGCGCTGAAAGCGAGGCAAGGAATGCTACCCAGTAACTTTATACGTTTATGTTTATTGATAGGTCTGGCGTGACTTCAAAGCTACTAGCGGAGGGGAAATATGCCCAAGCTTTGAGGGACGCTCTTTTGCGGAATGACTCGCATCAAATTTTATCTATTTTAAGCCAAATTCCGTACAAAAAGCCAAAGGCATTGGAAGGACTGTCGCTTCCGGAGACTTTTAAGCTTATAACGATTTTTAAAGATGTCGTGGAAGAGGGCGCGAATGCCCCCTTTTTTGCAGTCAGCTTATTTTGGCTCTATGAGACGCTTGTTAGATTTGAATGCTTCGTTGGGTCCATTTCGCCCTGCCGTTCACCATCAAGCTCAGCTAATAACATTATGTCGATTGCAAATAATGATGAAAGCATCAAGACAATCCGAACGGAAGCTAAAAGGATCCTTCAGGAGTTATCCAGAGACAGCGGCTTTGAGGATGGCCTGATTGTGGCTCTGTTTGAATCCTTTTCCATTTATTACCAAAGAAACGTGCTATCCAACATTCCATCAATCGTTGGCGGCTCCACTCAACAAGAAGATTCAGCCCTATCAGAGCGTAAATTAAGACTAACCAACCGTTTAATCCTGTCCTTGCAAGTAGAGCTAGATAAGCTTCTAAATGACGATTACTAGTGCGCTTTTGTTCTTTTCTTATAAACCTCGTATTTGTAATTATTTGGTACAATATAATGACGGCGAGGGAAGGAGGGGGAGCTATCTAAATTTGTTGTACGTTACACTATGTGCAACTTGGCATGCCAACTATTAATTTTTGTTCGTAAATTTTAACTTTACATATACTTGCATCCATCACAGCATGGACTCGCAACTGGTACCGAAAAGCCCGCGTTTAGAGACTCTCTTCGTTCTTCAAAGCCTAAAAGACTATTTGTTGATGGACTCCAATAAAGATTGGGGCAGTTTTACTGAATGGTGTCGAAAAGTTTTTTCGCTTTGGCATTCCACTGTAATTCAATCTCCTTTGAATCAACTAAACTTATCCGACCCCCTTCCAAGAGAGGAAATTTCGAAATCAGAGATAATTTCTATCGTCTCAACTATCACTCGATCAAGCAATGACGATTTTCCAACTCTCGATACGATCACATCCTGTCTTCTTCTGCTTAGAGATGAAAAAATGTCTTTGGCCAAGCAACGTGTATTCGCTATCCATCCTTCTGAACTAGAGTAATTTCGGCATAAATTTTTACCATTAGAAAGAGCCTCAAACTATTAAAGAATTGTTTTCTGAGCGTCCAATTTTCGCCACCAACTATTGGCACCACTAGTGAGCCTGAGGCTGAAGCCATCGGATACACATTGGATCGGCCTCCCAGTACCAAATACTTTGATATTTTAGGGGCTGTCAACCCAGGCGATCCTTTTATTGATGTCGAGGGCGAGGACAAAAATATGCTTGTTGAGGAAAATCTGATTTTGTCTCTGGATGTAGATGAAAGGCCATGCATTGAAATGAAGGAGGAGCTTGCTGAAGATCCAGTTAAACCAGAATATGTCTCCGAGGATGTATCTACACATTCCCTTACATGTGCAAGTCCCGAAGAAATCTCTGAATTCGAGCCTTTCCCGGAAAACCACGAATGGAGAAGAAAAATGTTAACAGTGCTTCGTGAGATTTCTCTCCACAAAAAAGGATACATCTTCACAAGGGTAGTTAGAGACTCAGATGCTCCCGGATATTCTGAAATCGTCAAAAGACCTGTTTCTCTTGGCAGTATAAAACTTGGCATTAGAGACCGCAAACTCTGCTCCACGCCTCAAGTGCACAAGGAGCTCTTGTTGATGATATTGAATGCCTTATCATACAACTCACCTGAAAGCTCCGTGCATCAATCTGCGCTTGAGGTTCTTTCATTGATAGACATGCTATTTGCCAAACTTTACAGAGAAGAGAACATTCCAATTAAAGCAGAGGGACTGGTGAGGTTTCCAAAAGAAGATTTGTTTAGTGATGAGCAATCTGAACTTTTCAAAAAGAAAGAAAAAACATTACCGCAAGATCCACAGGACACAAGCAGAAGATCTATGATCGTCAAAGAAGACGATCAAAAAACTCGCCCGCTTGAGAATTCAAGCCGCTCATCAAGCAATCACAAGCCATCCCTCTCGAGGCGATCTAAGCCTCTTTCTTTTAAGCAACTGGAACTTTCCTTTTTGCACGAATCTGTACCTTTAAAAGAGCCAGATGTACCTTCTGGTAAACAGCATGATGTACATGATAATGTTGCGATATCTGGTGGTTCTTCTGCTGAGAAAACGTCCAATGTCAAAGCGAAGAGATCTTCAACTCGGATTTCTTCTCGAAGCTCTGTGGAGGAAGAGCCTTCTAGCAACATAATTGCTTCCACTGTGAAAAGTAAGAGGGAAACTCCAAAGGCTCCCCCGGTAGATACCAAAAAACGAAAAATTGCCCCCAAAAGCGAGATCAACATTCGCCAAACTCCCTCCTCGGGCACAAAAAAGAAACCCTGATTTACTGGTTTTTTATTTACAATCAAGATCTTTTCTTTTTAGTTCTACTTTTGTTACGTATTGGTATGGCATCCTCATCGATGAAATAACTGTCGCCATCGATTATTCCATTTCTGCTTTTATATTGATGGTCGTTGTCATCCTGGCCATACGGGGCCTCTTCATCTGTCGAAGAACAGAGTGACGATATATCCTCGTCTTCGTATACGCCATCCTTTCCACACTCGTATTCTGAATCTTCTGAAAGGACCAGTAGCCCTCCGGACGAGCGTTTCCTTCGTGTATGGAAAAGCCCTCCTTGATCATCTTCATCCTCGAGCTTGGATAGGGCGGTCTTTCTAGATCCTGAATTCGATCCCTTTCTAGGGTTATGGGTGGATATCTTTGAAGTTGAAAACTTTTGCGCAAATGCAGAGTCAATGTGCATCCTGGCCTCTTTTTCAGAGTTTTTTTTCAAAAGTGTAATGGCCTAATAAATGACAAGCATAAATTTACCTTATGGCTGGTGGTTGAGGAATTGGAAAATATTCTCAATGAATCGTCGATTCGATTCAACGAAGCGCCGGCGCCAGCGCCATCCCCAGTGGTGCCAAAAAAGGAGGGCGCGTTAAACCCCTTCAGCAGGTTTATTCCTTGTGAATACTTTTCAAGGAAAGAGCTTTCATAGTTGTAGAGCTGCACTTCAAGCTCAAGAAGGGATTTCTCAATATCCCGTTTTCGACCTAGGGCGGCAACTAGTTCAGAATGAATGGCAAGGACCTTTTCTTCAGAAGGCTATCGCTCAATTAATGAATGCATTAAGTACTTGGCCAGTAGCGTTTTCAAATAGAGATGAAAGGGTGGTAGTGAACGCTATCGGCGTGTGGGGAGGAGAAGTAACCCTGTTTAGAGGACTCATCTCAATGGAAGAGTTGCAATTAAAGCGTTAATAAATTTACAACTTGTGTAGCCACCATTTTCAATTCAATTTTATTTTCATGGCCAAAGCCGACTGGGAAGCCTGTAAGTGATCCCCGACATGATACAACATTTAGATGAGAAACCGATTAAAAATCCGCAAAATGGCGATGAAGAGGACCTAAAAAGCATTCCATTAGATGAGGGTGATATAGCACTGCTCAAGTCATATGGTCAAGGGCCATATATGCAGGATATTAAACGTATCGATGCCACCATCAAGAATATGCTCAAGGCTGTTAATGAGAAAATGGGGCTTAAAGAGTCAGACACCGGGCTTGCACCACCATCAACATGGGACCTTCCAGCGGATCGCCAGCGCATGAAGGAGGAGCAGCCTTTGCAAGTTGCCAGATGTACAAAGATTTTTGCCTCCGGGGAGGAAAAGAAATATCTGATCAACATCAAGCAAATTGCCAAATTCGTCGTCGGGCTTGGCACAAACGTCTCTCCAACAGACATTGAAGAGGGCATGCGTGTGGGGTACCCGATTACTCTATTCCCCGTGTTATTCATTTCCCCTTTATGGCTGATTTGATTTAGACCTTGTTTTTTCCCTTTTTTGCTTGTATTTATTGGTAGTGTTGATAGGAATAAGCACCAGATCCAGCTTCCGCTTCCTCCAAAGATCGATCCCTCTGTTACGATGATGCAAGTTGAGGAGAAGCCGGATGTTACGTACTCTGATGTCGGTGGCTGCAAAGAGCAAATAGAAAAGCTTCGCGAAGTTGTAGAGCTGCCAATGCTGAGTCCAGAGCGATATGTCGATCTCGGCATCGATCCTCCAAAGGGTGTTTTGCTCTTTGGGCCTCCTGGAACCGGAAAAACCCTCTGTGCGCGTGCAGTAGCAAATCGCACAGATGCGGCCTTTATTCGAGTAATTGGCTCTGAGCTTGTGCAAAAGTTTTCCACTTTCTCATATCTTATCATTTAGATATGTGGGAGAAGGCGCTCGCCTTGTCCGAGAACTGTTTGAAATGGCAAGAATGAAAAAAGCGACGATCATTTTTTTCGACGAAATTGACGCAATTGGCGGGGCTCGCTTTGATGATGGTTCCGGGGGTGACAATGAGGTCCAACGGACCATGTTGGAACTGATCTGCCAGCTCGATGGATTTGATCCCCGAGGAAATATCAAGGTGATTATGGCCACCAACCGCCCAGACACACTGGATCCGGCCCTTATGCGCCCTGGTCGCCTTGATCGAAAAATTGAATTTTCTCTTCCAGATCTTGAGGTTGGTATCTTGGCCGATCCACCGATCGGTGGTCTTTTTTTAGTATTTTTGTATTCTTTTGCATTGTTTTTGGATCATCCGTTGCGTATGCTTTTACTTTCGTCTTTTTACCGGTCTAAATACGTTACTTCCTGCTATCGATTAAAACTCGCATTTCTTATGACTAGGGCCGCACTAACATCCTCTCTATACACGCCAAAAGCATGAATGTAGAGCAGTCCGTTAGATTTGAATTGATTGCTCGTCTATGCCCAAATAGCACTGGCGCTGAGCTGCGCTCGATTTGCACAGAAGCAGGCATGTTTGCCATACGTGCCAGGCGCAAAGTAAGACCATCCATCCCTCATCATCATCTTCGTGTAGATCGCTACCGAGGCTGATTTTCTACAGGCCGTCAACAAAGTCATCAAGGCATATGCCAAATTCAGCTCGACTCCTAAATACATGACGCACAACTAGTCTCATAATAAACTTTACAGCTCTCCTGCACTTGAAATGGGGCATCTTTTTACAAATTTGCAGTTACTGCACAGCCTGCATATGGATTTCGATTAATCATATCGGCTGGCACTAATAAGAACCTGGACAGGATGTTAATTTATATAGCTGTATTAGCGCATTAGTATATTAATGTATCACGACTTGATATTCAAAAGCAGTGAGGGGCCTGTGTTTGACCCTGAAGGCAAATAGGTGACATTTGAGGAGGCCGACAATACAGAGGCAATCTCCTTGGCTGCCTCGATGCGACGTAGCTCAATTAGTCCGGAACCGGAACGCTCAATCGCCTGTGAAATCAGAGAAGCCGCCTGTGACTCTCCCTCTGCGCGCACCACTGCGGCCGTTTTTTCTCGCTCGGCCTTTTCAACGACAAACTTGGCCCGCTCGGCATCCTGCTGGGCAACTTGCTTCTGCTCAACGGCCAGGGTGAATTCTTTTCCAAAGGAAAGATGCGTAATGGAGACATCTTCGAGCTCAATGTTAAATTCCTGTGCTCGCATCGTTAGCTCTTCACGTATCTTTTGAGAGACCTATTTCGGTGAGAGGGTCGATCATTTAGTACCGGTTCGCGCTGAGTAATCAGCTCCCCGGCATCAAACTGTGCAACTACAGCTTTTAAAACCTCATTTCCTATGGATGGAAGAACTCGCTCGGCATAATCAGGGCCCAGACGAGAGTAGATGGTATTCAAATTCTCTTTTCGCGGGCGGAAAAGCACCCTGAGAGAAAGGCTGATTCGTTGCATATCTGCAAGGATAACAAAGAAATCGTACCTTTGCTTCCAGTGTTGGTTGTGATTACCTTTGATTGCAGACGGACATCAAAAAAGATCGGCTTTTGCAACCAAGGGATCAGGAAATGAGTACCTTCCTCCATAGGTTTAGCGCGAATGCCCTTGAGACGGTCGAAAATGACAACGCGCTGGCCCGCAGGAACTATACATAAGAATTCCATTCAATTTTTACCGTTGTACATGGACTCCGAAAGTACCATCATCCCAATTCCAATCGGGAATGCAAACTTGACGGTCCGGGAAAGCAACTGCTCCATAATTTAAATTAAATTGCAAGAAGCTATTTACAGGTTTATTAATTCAGCAAATGGGTCCTCTTCACATGTATCCCTCTTCGCGCTATCGCTGATAGTAGCCTGACTATTGTTAGCGGAGGCCTGAGTTCTACCACCGTTAGCATCAATATTGGGGCTAGAATATTTACTTCTACCACTATGTTCAAAGTGCTGAAAAATAAGGCGATCTTCGTTAAGGGTCTCGGTAGAATGTAACCCCTCGTCAACATTACAAATAACATTGCTCTCACAAAGATTCGATGTCTTTTGAATTTCACAGACAGAGCTGCACTCCCATTGTGGTAGCTTCAAAAGGTTGGGTGACTTATCCCTATGTAGTTCTGACGCCCTTATTGGGATTGGTTTGGAGTCCTTCGTCATTTTATAGGGGGTTTCCTTTTCAACGGAGAAAGAACCCAAATCTTTACTTTTGCCCATTCCGTGGGCGGAAAAAATATCAACGTTTTCCGTGGGGGAGAGACCAAGCTCGCCCGATTTCTTGGCAGAAGAAGAGATAAAGTCGCTAAATTCTTCAATTCTAGGATATTCCAAGCCGCTTTTTGAGCTTCTCCCAAGAATGTTTTCCCCTTCGCCAAAATTCGATCTCCATTGAAGAGATCCTTGTGAAGATGCGCTTTGAGATACCGGAACGTTGCTCCTCCTGATAGGTACTATCAAACCAGACTCAGTGTTGGGTTTTGCTGGTTGAGGCTCTTTGGGCGCTGGTGCTTGGGTCTTTTGCATCTCCCCTTCAACCAATTCGTTGATGGTGGCTTCCAAGTTAAAAGAATTATAAATAAGAACTGAGCCAAGATAAGAATCAGCCAGATTATTTGGATTTCTGACATTTCGGTTTTTGAATCCCATGCCCTCTAGAGTTCTTATGAACTCTTCCAATTTTTCATTTTCCATAGAACCACTTGAAGTGCGTTCCGGAGGCGGTGACTTCAAGAGCGGAGATCCAGCCAAAAGTTCACCCGGTGGTGTATATGTAGATTTTGCAGGCATAGCCGTTGCATTAGGTGTCCCTCGTTTTGATGCCTCTTTGGGATCGCCGTTGACAGGAATGCCTGTTGAAGTTGAAAGAATTTCTATCGCCACTGAAATATCTCCATTAGATGTCAAGAGAGCATCTGCACACCTATTTTTGTCACCAAACCCCATCTCTAAGAGTGAAGTCAGCAAAGATCCATTAATTAAATCCTCAGACTCTGATGGGAAACATGCAGAGGTTCTAAGAGGCAGATCCTCTTGAAACATCTTCCGCTCGTATTTTGACCTAATGTACTCTTCCATATCTTTCTCTTCGTCATTTGAATGAGGGCTCGGTGACGGCGGAGGGATCTTTAGCTTATTGATCCTGCTATTGATGGCCTCGTTGCCCCCACATGAAATGATGTGCTATACAGTTATTTTCTGCAATAAAAACCGATATCTGCTCGTCAGATAGTACATCCAAATAGAGTGACTTGATTCGAGAAATATGGGTGCCCAATTTTCGGTGTATGCCCCCGCATTTTATGCACAAAAATACCCCAAAGGTAACAGAAACCCACCGGGTGCCTCAAAAAAGAATTACGCTACTCTTACCTTTTTGGCCGCAATCAGCACATGAATTGTTGGCTGTGTTGGTGGCAATAAAACTTGAAATCCTTGCATCCATAAATTAGGAAAATAAATTGCCTCAGATGGCAACTTGGTATTTTATTAAAGTGTATTAATTTCGTAAATTTCAAGAATTACAAGGGCCAAAGCACGGCCGGACATAGTAAATTTAATATCAAATTAAGTCATAAATTTTATTAAAATGTGGGGTAAGGCTACTTCAAGCGCAGAAGGTAACATCTTTGTTTATGTTCATATCCTCTAGTCGATAAAGGTCTCGGAATTCCAACACATGCTTCTCAATCCCCGATGAAAAAAGTCTTCCCTCGCGAGCGAAGCTTGCAACCATGGAGCTCTTCTACGGACGATACTACCTTCGAACCTCTTGGCTATAAAAACAGTGACTCCAATTGGGACCAATTCAAGGCAAATGAGCAAAAGTTTGGATATATCAAAAACCCCATTAACGAGACCATATATACTACGCCACTAGACAAAAAATCGGAGCTTTATCAAAGCAAAATTGAAGAAGCTGAGCGTCTGTCAAGGGAGATTCTTGCTTCGTCTCATTCGAATTCACACATCTTGGAAGAAAGAGGAGAACCCATATCATCTAAGGACCATGAAATTGACGAGGAAAAATATGCCTCTGTTTCTCGTACAATTGTACGATCATCTGGTGCGTATGTTCCTCCCTCATTAAGAAGTAAAGAACCTTCAGTTCCGCAAGCGTGTTCTGCAGAATATTCTGGTAATGTATTAGTGGAGGAAATTAATTTTGCAACGCCTATTTTGAATGATATTTCCTCCGAGCAACATCATTTTATTGAGCAGGCTACTGTTAATGAAGCTGTAAATTCTTCTGATCATGTAAACACAAATGAAAATTCTTCAGGCAAGGATGCATCTTCAGAATTGGAATGTGATATTATTTCTTGCTCGACCAAATCTAGTGATAATGCTTCCTCGCCCGCATTTATTGAGCGAGAATTTCTCGATGGACCTACAACGCAATCAATTGACACCATTAACCCGGTTAGTATCAAGGAGCAACCAACACTAAAAGCTGTAAAGCTAAATATCAATGCACCTGAATTCTACCCAAAAAGGAATTCTTTCGCTTTCCAGCAGCCTCAAAATTCATATTATTCCCCTGGATACTATTCTTATGCATCTTCAGACGTACCTGCTATTTCATATTATGATCCCACGGGTGCCGTTTATTTCCCAAGCGGTCAGTATTCGTACTATTATGACCCCCCAGGTACACCATATAATGTAGCGAGCAGATATAAGAAGAATAATGGCACCCAAGACACCTCTTATGACAGCGATTCTAAGAGATAGGTCATTTTGTCGATCATTATTACTTGTATTATAATAAACAAACTTGAAACTACACTAAATATGCCGTTCTATGCTGTGGAAGAACTTTCGTATCTCGGTGCTACTTATTTTCGAATCGTATGGTGTGACTTGATCTTTGGATTTTTCACATCCTTCTTCGGTGAAAGATGGGATTTCTTCTTGTGAAAAATTTGAATCACTGTTCTCAGATAACCTCAAAGGCAAGGATGCATGGTCAAGGGCAGAAACCAAGTCGACAACAATAATATCCAAAGGGGCTTGGCCATTTTCTATTCGCTTATCGTTCACTATCATAAACCATATGGCATTCCATACCTAACCGAGCACCTTGTATGGTCTCTTTAGAGACAATAATTACATCAAAGGTAGGGCAAGAGGCTGCCGGACCAATGGTATCGTGGAGGGCAATGCACTACAGTATAAGATGCCACATTACTTTCACATCCAAGCAACGCTTGAATAGTTTGAAAAAATTTTCGACCTCAAAAATCCGCTCTTCAATTGGCTGTATGAGGCGAAAATAGCTTTTGCCCTCAATTAATTCGGCAGCTAAAGATAGAAACTAGACAAAGACATTACCTGAGACACCACAAAGAACAGCCCTGGATGAGATCAGCGCTGCTTGACTAAGAAGAAATTTATGCCCAACATGAAGATGATCAAAAGTCCCACCCAAGATAACATTGTCATAATAGCGGGTAAATTTCACGGTCCCAAAGTGGTTAGAATTTCCATCCTCATCGACATCATCTAGAGCTGGATTGCTATTTAAAACGTCCATGTAGCTTTTGAAAAAAATAGATAGAGATGTAGCTTTATGCTTGGGAAAAGACGCCACAAAGGAAGATTTGGAGTAGATTATAGCCTTATTCAAGGAGCCTAGCATGACAGGATTATACCCGCAATATGGATGAAAAATAATAGAAAAATAAAAAAGAGGATTCTTGAATATTCGATAGTGGATCTTTGCTGAAATTCCATAGGTTGAGGACAAAATTTGGATAAGTTGCGTAGGAGAATTTCCACTTTCGACATCGCCAATGACAAAAAGATAGGAGTTAAGTGGATTTTCATTGTTATTGAGGCAGAACAGCTGTGTAAAAAACGAATCGAGCTGGGATAAAGGTATTTTCTGAAAATCGCATATGCTGAAATATATCAAAATGGTATCTTTTGGGACAAGGGGCAGCGTATCAAGATATTTGCCTTGATCCATCATATAACGATGCTTGACTTGCAAATGCCGATTGAAATGCCTTGATGTTAAATTTTAAATTTGCTATTCACATTTTAATGCGCAAGCACAAATAATGGCGTCACAAAGCAAAGTTTCTCAAATTTATTGGGCATAGCAAAGCTCTGCATTTTAACCCATTTCCAATGGGTGCATCACAATAGGTTACATTAAATTGCCTTGCGCCGCGTTGCGTTGCATTGCAATTTTAAATGCAATGCTGGAATAAAATTTGATGCGTCAAATGGATATTCCAGCAGCCTTGCAGGATAGCTCCACGCGTTCCAGTGCTCTCTTTTCGTCGTAAAGAATCACAAGGAGAGATCTAAGCTCATCGTGAAGGGCACAGGCCTCACGGGTTGCAAGCAGCGGTTTAGGTCCTAAAATCATGTATCAAATACCATACCTATGTTTTGTTCAATCAATTGACGCTCTATAATTTTTGTGATCCCCACTCTAATTGGCTTCAAGCGTTGCGAACGCAGATATGCACTGGTGGCTCCAAGAGACCAATTCTTTTCCTTCGAAAGGGAGGGCTTGATAACCCCCATGTTATCGTGTTTTTTAACAGCTAACGGGCCACTAGCTCGAGATGTGGAGCCCGAGGCGCTTTCGAACTGGGACGATGGGCCTGTCCCTCCTGAGAGTGATGGCCTGTGCTTCAATAAACTCGATGCTGTCGAATTTGTAGGAGAAGTCGAAATAATAGCCGATTTCTTTTTCTTTGACATTTTCCTTGAAATGACATTTGATGCGGATGTATTTTGCGGGATGTGGGGCCAAAAAGGCAATGCAGCGTTTGCTATAAATGCTTGCGGAACGGAAAACAAATCCCCGGAAAACTTTTTAACCAGTCGGCGCTGCGCATCGATAACGGATTGCAACGAGGCATCAACTAAGCGGCCAATGTCATTTAGCTCTTTGCTCCATTGATTTTCTATTGAAAGAAGAGGTGTTCTTTCAGATGGGTAGGCTAGAAGTAGGTTCATCTGGGGAATCATTTCAAAAAGATAATGCATCCTTCTCTTGATTTCAGTGACCGACTTTTTCGTGATCGAATCGTTTGAAAAGCTATATGCGTCGGCCATTGCATACCAACTTAGTTCATACTCTCTGGCCAAATTGACCAAGTAGAAGGTTTCATCTAAACTCCAATCAGCAGTAACTAGAGGTGATAAAAATTGCACATACAATCAAGATCCAACTGGGACAGGTCGTCTTTCGAATAAAAGGGAATCTACACATTAAAGAGGCTCCATACGATTTCTTTGCTATTGCTGGAAAAAAACTCTTGCACAAGCTGTGATGGTGATGCGTTAGATGGAATCCAACAGGGAAGACTTAATATATTTTCGCTCGAATTAGGAATACCAGAATTAAGCATAAGCTGGCCGTAAGTCCTAGGAAGAGAAGATGTGAGTTAGATATACCATTTGGGCATGCCTTTCGATTGGGGTAAAATGAAGCTTAAAAATAAAATTTATTAATTGCAAGGTTTTTGTTGAGCACAAGTGGCTGCTTTTTGACACATTTCCGTTGCCGATGAAAGCACCTCTTTAGTTTCGTGACAGATTTTGGCTAGCGTTTGTTCTAAAGCTAACTTGCCTTTGATTGCATTTGATTTAAATCTTTCCAGCCCAAAATCTTCCAGGTAGTTTCGGATGGTTGCCCAGCCATTGAAGGAATCTATTCGTACCTCTTGGGTAAATTGAGTTTCTCTAAATGATAGGATGCATCATGAAATTACCTTTCCGGGTCGGAAGGAGAAGGGCTATATACACAGGTTTCTTCTACACTCATCAGTGTACAGAAGGTTAAGTTTTGCGTTCGTAGGGTTAGAACACGTTTTTGAGGATCACATTCAGAGCGCTCATATATATAGGCCTCGTTGGAGCCGCCTATGAGCCTCAAAATAAAATCGGGCACATTTTGTCTACAAGTGATGAGCCTTTCTGTGTGCAGGACCCCAGTAGTGGGGTCGACTCTTCTAGATAAATAATCCACATGTATAACGTGTGGAGTGACTTCGTTCGGATACTTGATCCAGTTGGCCGATGAGACGGCCTCCCACGCATGGTTAAAAAAGTGAGAATTCAAAAACCAACGCATGCCAACAAAGGAATAAAATTTTATTTATAATTTTATTTAAATTTTATTTATTTAAGGAGACTTGAGACTTCTTGCGGCATTTCATCAATGTGGGTATTGTAGAAACTTTCAATCTCCTTCAAATCTTTGACGTCATCTTCCGTGATCAGATTGATGGCAACACCTTTGCGTCCAAAGCGACCAGAGCGGCCGATACGGTGGATATAATTTTCCTTGGACGTGGGAAGGTCGTAATTAATAACTACCGAGACTTGCTGTACATCTATACCACGCGCCAGAAGGTCGGTAGTGATGAGGACACGAGAAGCTCCACTTTTGAATTCCTTCATAATAGATTCACGAACAGGCTGCAAAAGTTCTCCATGGATTGAGGATACGGTAAAGTCTTTTTCTTGCATTTTCGCGGTAAGCTCTTCAACCCTGGGGCGGGTATTGCAGAAAATAACGGCTTGTTGAATTGTAACGACTTCATAAATATCGCAAAGAGTCTCAAACTTGAACTCTTCTTTTTCAACGTTCACATAAAACTGCTTGATGCCCTCAAGGGTAAGCTCGGCATTTTTCACCAAGATTCGGGTAGGGTTTCTCATGAATTTCTTAGATACATCTTGAACATCTTCTGGAAGTGTAGCAGAGAGAAGAACAACTTGAATAGATCCAGGGACAGATTTGAATATCACATTAATTTGATCGGCAAAGCCGCGAGAAAGCATCTCATCCGCTTCATCAAGAACAAACATGTGTAGGTGTGAGGTATTAAAGGCCTTGCGACTAATCAAGTCAAGTACACGACCCGGGGTTCCAACAATAATATGCGGCTGGTTGGATCTGAATGATTGCAGAGCCTCTGAGACACTGGAGCCTCCAATACAGACTTTGACACGGACATTCATAAATTCTCCCAAGGCCAAGATTACTTTGTGGATTTGATTGGCAAGTTCACGGGTAGGTGCCAACACAAGGGCTTGAGGGAAGTTTAAATTGGGGTCAATTTTCTGAAGCATTGCAATGGAGAAGGTTGCCGTTTTTCCGGTACCCGATTGGGCCTGAGCTATTACGTCGCCCTTGGTAATGATTGGAGTGATTGCCATAGCTTGAATTGCAGATGGCTTTTCAAAACTAGAAACAATTATATGAGGTTCAAATTACCCATAAGCATAAATTCCTCTAAGAAGATTATCATTGAGATTCATGTCGTCAAAGGAGTCAACAGAATCATGATGGTTCGACTATAATCGTTAAAATCTCTATCATATCAAACCTCATCTACGGTTTCGTCGTATTGTTTTGGAGAATTTTGTGCTGCGCTATTATTGTCACTAAAAATGAGATATGAATGATGTTTGGGTACCTCATTTCGAAGCTTGATAGAAAAATAAAAAATAAAATTTATCAAGGGTATTTGCACTTTGCAATTTATTTAAAGGTCCCAAGTGGAGAGCCATCTTAATGTATAAAAATTGTCCACTGGCCCGTTCATTCCATAGCAAATCGGGGCAAATTTCAAAAAAACAGCGAAAACAACGCATAATGTTGTGCTGATGGCAAGATTTCTAACCCTCTCTGAAGGGATCAGATCCACCACCACACCTGTGCACATCACTGCAAAAATAAGTGCAGGGTAATAATGATGAAGATATAATACACGTCCCATCAGTAGAAATGGGACAAAATGGAGAAACCAGCCCAGAAGAACAACCCTGCACTTTGCATTAAATTTATCTTCTCTGATTGAGGAAGCCAATGTATCTTCCGGTTGAGTATGCTGCTTTCTTGCCCTAGTCAGTGCGCTTAACCCGATGATCAATAAAATTGCAATAACTGAAGATGCGCCTAGCCACCAGACAATCGGATTTCCAAGCATATAGAATTTTGTAAGATCATCGTCAAATGAAGTCATCCTTATTCCAGTACTGAGAAAGGGCCACTGTAGAGGCTCCGATGTCAACGGACTGGCCTCGATCTCTTCGTCTTTCGTTAGTGCATTGTTCGTGTGCCACATATTTAAATTACACTCGATGAAATCCATCAAAAAATTTGATGGATACAAAGAAGCAGAACCCTTAGGCACTATGGGGTCATCACAGTTGAACACTTACGTTGGGGATGGAAATTGGTTTCAAAGTTCCAAATCGTATTTTTGGAGATGATCTTTTTCGGTGAATTCAATTCACATGAGACTTCTAACTGATTACTCGCCCAATCAGGAAGCGTGCCCTTTGAGGATGCAAGATAACAACCAGTGACGGAATGCTTGAGACGAAATGAAGTAAGTATGTTTCTTATTGAGGGCGATTCAAGCCCTTTCCCTTGTTTAGAAATTTCCTCGATGATCCAATGGTCATTTTGATCTGGAACCATGGTGTCATTTCCAAAGCCAGAAACCTCAAGGTCTGATTTTGATAAGTAAGCATGAACTCCATAGCTGCAGTGCAAATTTCTATTTGTCGAGCTATGTCTGAGTCTAATTGTGTCGCCAGCTTTCAATGTTGGAGGCGGTTGAACAGCATCATTTGCATCTTCTAATATGTATTTGGATTTCTCACTGAACAGAGACTCATCAAGGTTATCAGAAAGAGCATCTGAAGAAAGGACAGAGTGATCGGCGTGCTCCTGCGGAGAGTCTGCGTAAACAGATTCATGCTGTTCAGCTTGCAAATCTTGGGGAACTTTATGATCAACAAAAGAATCTTGTAAAGTCTCCTCCACAGAAGCCACCATGTTATCAATGTGGTGAGGATTTTCAACAATCCAATAATTATTATCGTCTTTGTGATGATATGTGGTCACTTGTTGAAGCCCGCTCCCAACGGGATATTCTAGAAAATGGGAATGTAAAAGGCCACCGCCCTTTGCAGAATTACGGATGGAAACCTTGGATTAATACAATACATATGCGCTACTTTGCTTCCAAAAGCGATGTTAATTGAGCTTTTCGAAATGTCATTGCCTTTCAAGTGTGCCTGAAACCGAGAGCTCATTTGAGAATCTCCGGGTCCGGAGCGAGACAGTAAAGAAAAATGCGCATAAAACGATGCCATATATATGGCAACAGGTACAAAGATCAAGCAAAGTGCACGCGCAAGAAAGTGAAAAATAATGCGAGGCTAATGACAGGAAATGTGAAGCAAATTACTTTGGAAATTCTCAAATGAGC